CGCACGGGGAGACATCACTGCCAGTGGCCTCTCGGGACATTTCCCAAGAACCCACGGCAGTGCTGGCGGAGAGACACTCACGCTGAGGAGAGATTTCAGCAGGTGGCCGGTGCTATCCAGAGCGTGAAGAAACTGCAGAAAACTGCATTTTGACTTTTTTGTTCTGGAAGCGCAGGCAGCCAATGTCCTTGAAGATGAAGTCCACGTTCTGCTTGTTTGCCAGGGTGTAGGACAGAAAAAGCACGGTCTCTTGAACACAGTGCAGTACAATTTTCTGAGGGAAATGGGAACACGCAGTACTGCACCATATCCCAAGGAACATGGGTGTCCAGGGATACTGAGGCATAATTCAAGAGAACAATCATAGAAGCACATGGGGAAAAACAAATGGGGAGCAAATTTAGTTAGATCTGATGTGGAGGACTTCAAGTTTGGGCAAGCTGCTGAGCCAACAGACAAAAATCAGCTAGAGAGCTGTCTTGCAGATTCCTCTGGTACAGCTCAAAAATGAGGACTGTGTAGCCCCTTCCTGCTCTCCACTCAAAGCGTTCTCTGGGCTGAAGTTCCCAGGACACAGCAAGGATTTCTTAATAACACCAAGCCTGGGTTGCCCCCATGAGGAATCTTCTGCCTTCCCACCACACCCAGCGATTTACTTTCCTGGGGAAGTTGTCCCTACATGGCACAGTTTTGGGGGACTGAGTCCTGTCCCCCAGAATATTGATCCCTGACTATTAGAGCGAAGAGGATCGACACTGCAAAGAAGACAGTCTCTGAAAACAGGCTCCAAGGGCCTGATGCCTCACACCCATGGTGCATTGCTGGGGCCTCAGCACATCCTCCCTGCTGCCGCGAGCAGAAGCAACAGCCAGTGCGGCAAGCAAACAGTGCCGAGAGGGACCTTTTCAGGAGCTGCTTCTTGGCAGACAGTGGAAGGTGGGGGCCTGTCTTTGCCTGTGAGGAGCTCAGGCTGCTGTAAGGACCTTCTGACGGAGCTCTAGGCTCCTCTCAGTCCCCTGGCAGCAGCAGTTCAGCATGTGCTCCAAATGCCCTGTAAGAGAAATCCATCCAGTTCATACAGAACCACACAGAATCATCTAGGTGGGAAAGGACCCTGGACATCATCTAGTCCAACCGTTCACCTAGCACAGTTCCAACCTACAGCATATCCTTAAGCTCCAAATCGACCCTACTCTTGAACACCTCCAGGGATGGGGACTCCACCACCTCCCTGGGCAGCCCATTCCAACGCCCAACAACCCCTGCTGGAAAGAAATGCTTCCTAATATCTAGTCTGAACTTTCCCTGGTGCAACTTGAAGCCATTCCCTCTTGTCCTGTCACTTTCTACTAGGTTAAAGAGACTCATCCCCAGCTCTCTGCACCCTCCTTTCAAGTAAGTTGTAGAGGGTGATAAGGTCTCCCCTCAGCCTCCTCTTCTCCAGACTGAACACCCCAAGTTCCCTCAGATGCTCCTCGTACGACCTGTGCTCCAGACCCTGCCCCAGCTCCGTTGCCCTTCTCTGGACACGCTCGAGTCATTCAATGGCCTTTTTGTAGTGAGGGGCCCAAAACTGAACCCAGGAATCGAGGTGCGGCCTCACCAGTGCCGAGTACAGGGGTCAGATCCCTTCCCTGTCCCTGCTGGCCACGCTATTGCTGACACAAGCCAGGAAGTCTTGGCCACCTGGGCACACTGCTGGCTCCTGTTCAGCCAGCTGTCAATCACCCCCCCAGGTCCCTCTCTGACTGGCAGCTCTCCAACCACTCCTGCCCAAGCCTGTAGCGCTGCTGGGGGTTGTTGTGGCCCAAGGGCAGCCCCCGGCATTTGGCCTTATAGAAGCTCATACAATTGGCCTCAGCCCATCACTCCAGTCTATCCAGATCCCTCTGCAGAGCCTCCCTACCCTCAGCAGATCAACACACCTGCCCAACTTAGTGTTGTCTGCAAACTTAGTGAGGCTGCACTTGATCCCCTCATCCAGATCACTGATAAAGATGTTAAACTGAACTGGCCCCAGTACTGAGCCCTGGGGAACAACACTTGTGACCAGCCGCCAGCTGGATTGAACTCCGTTCACCACAAGTCTCTGGGACTGGCCATCCAGACAGATTTTTACACAACAAAGAGTACACCTGTCCAAGGCATGAGCACAGTTTCTCCAGGAGAATGCTGTGGGAAATGGTGCCAAAGGCTTTACTAAAGTCCAGGTAAACAACATCCACAGCCTCTCCCTCATCAGCTAAGCCGGTCACCTTGTCATAGAAGGAAATCACATTAGTCAAGAAGGACCTGCCTTTCCTAAACCCCTTCTGCAGTTGGGCCTTCTTGCCCACCATGCAAGATCATTCCTCGGTCACAGATCACCACTGCTGAGCAGTTACACTTTGATTTTCCCCATCGCTGAGCATGAGAACCCCTTTCTATGGCTTCTGGAAAAAAAAAACACCTGTCACAGAGTCACTGTCACAGAATCACTGAGGTTGAAAGGGACCTCTGCAAGCCATCTGGTTCAGCCCTCAGCTCAAGCACGGCAACCTAGAGCTGGCTCAACTTCTTTGCTGCAAAAGCCTGCCTAGCAGCGATGTAGTGAATAAATTTCATGAGCCATGCTATCTCTTCAACTTTACACCTCAATCTGTAGGGTGCTTTTAATTCCAGTCCAAGCAGCCTCTCCATCAGTGGTTACATGGGCACAGTTTTTCCATGAAACATTATTTTTATTAAAGAAATAATTTCATGTTTAGAATATAGATTCTCTGGAACATCTTTCCTTCAGTAGCTCACAAAAAAAAAAGTAGCTCGCTGTGTACTTCATTATTGAAACAGCATCTAAGAAATACCATAAGCTGAGACATGTCAGAAACATCTGGACTTTCATCCAGCTGCACAGCAACCCTCCCACATGGCCTCCCACAAATTCTTCTTAATACTGGGGTCTTCAGCAGTGTGTTTGCTGCACCTTCCAACAGTACTTGCTGACAAGGGAATGCATGTTAGTTTGTTGCCATACCATTCCCCTGTATTCTTTCAGCCATTTTTACCAGGGCAAAAAGAACAAATCTTTCACCCAACAGTATGTGGCTTTTTGTCTTTTGCTGTTAAGAAACTTCAGAGGAGGATTCTCTATCAGTAACCGTAGCGTGGCTTCTCTCTGCAGACCACACGTCCTGCCAGGAGCCTGCTGCAGTGTGAGGTCTCCACAGGATCACAGCTTTCTTCAGGGAACATCCACTGCTCCATTGTGGGCTCCTCCCCGGGCTGCAGGTGGGTCTCTGCTCCCCTGTGGAGCTCCATGGGTGCCGGGCACAGCTGCCTCCCCATGGGCTGCCCCACGGGCTGCAGGGTTGTTCCTCTCACATATTCTCACTCCAGCTACTGTTGTGCAGCAGTTTTCACCCCTTAAGTATATCATCACAGAGGAGCTACCACTGTTGCTGATGGGCTCAGTTGTCCAGTGGCAGGTCTGTCTTGGAGATGGCTGGAACTGTCTCTGTCTGACATGGGGACAGCTTCTGGCATCTTCTTGTACAAACCACCCCTGCAGCCCCCCTCTTACCAAAGCCTTGCCACATAAACCCAATACAGTGAGCATGGAGGTTTCTACCTCTTCCCCACTCTGTCCTGCACCAAGCACCTCTTCATCCAAGCTCACCAGGTGCTCTTCTTCCTACTCATTGACTCCACCGTGTAGCCCGGCACTGCTCCTCCAGTTAGCTCTCTTGCCCAAGGCCACAGAGGTCTGGGGCTTCAGGGAAGGACAAGGCTCTTTTTTTTGGAGGAAAAGCCATCTTTGTGGCAGGCACAAGAGAAGGACCAATGGCAGGAATTCTTCCCACACTAGATCACTCTCTCTTGACCTCTCTCCCAACAAGAATGCCCCTTAAGAACCCACAGCAGCATTTTGGACCACCCAGCAGTGTCTTTTAGAGGTGTCAGGAGAGGAGGGATGGCCACCCCCGGGTGCCTGTCCCGTGGAATGTCAGTATTGGTCACTCTGTCCCAAGGGGAAGGCCTGCATCTGAGCACGCCAGGCAGCAGTCCACAGCCGAGCAGCACAGCTGGAGGCTACTGCTCTGTGCCATGCACCATTTTTCAGCAGCCATGCCTTCTGCTGCACACGTGGGTAACCTTGGGCTGAGCACAGGCTGAGGAGGAAACTCCTCCTATTGTGTGTCTGCAGACTGCTCCCATCATAGGAGGGCAGCTCCGGCGGGATGCCAGAAGGTCAGCAAGAGACAGAGCCCAGAGGGAGAACTTTGTCTGAGATGGGCATAAGGGAGCTGGAAAGGCACCTTCTATACCTCTGTGGCATTAGTGTCTGTATTTCACAAATGATGAGGAGTGTAATAAAACCTATATGATATTTGTTATTCAAATCTCAAGTTATGGTTAAATATATTATTCAGTAAATTAAATGTAAAAAGAAATTGTGTTAACATCAGATTGTATTGTAACTGAACTTTGTTGTGGTCAGACGGTGTTATGGTTCTACATGTAACCTAAGGTTTAAAAAGAGATAAAGCATTATGTATATAGTTTTTTTTATGGTTAAAATCACTGGTTAAAATCGAGTTAAAATGGCCACCGTCTTCAGGCCAAATGGTGTTCTGTCTAGACATGTCTGGACTATGGATACCTGCACACCTGTGCTGAGCCATCCCCCTCCTCCCCCACGGTGGGAAGCCGGCGAACCTTCCCTGGCAACAAAAACCTCGCGAAAGAAAAGCCCGCGAAAAGTTGTTGACGACCTGCAAACCCCTCAGGGAGCACCCCCACCCTCATGAATATTCATGAAGGCTGCACTTTAAAAGGACTCCGTTTCGGGATGTAAGGTGTGTGCCTTGGTGGAGTAAAGCCTCCCCGGCACACCCAGCGCTGTTTTGCTCACTTTCGCTTGCTAATAAATTTTACTGACCACTGAAACAAATTTGAAGGTGGTGATTTCATTTTAAATTATGATTAATCCATAACAAGGAGCAGCAGTAGAGAGCAGAAGAGAAGTATCTCTGGGCTGATTTCCAGGCTCACACGCAACACTTTTAGAGGGAGAGGGCACAGGCATGGGAGGCACTTTGAGATGTCTCCCAGAACAGCCATTGCCTCCTCCAGGGGAGCTGGCGGCTGAAGGTACCCATGTTCCAGGGGTATCGTTGTCCTCAGAGAGCCCGGCAGGGGCTGCTGTCTCTCTGGCTGGGCTCATCTCTACAAGGCATGACAGACATCACCCACAAACCCAGAGGGTAAAAAGAGGCCCCTCTGTGGCAAGGGCATGGCTTGATCCTCTCTCTCATGAATTCCATCAACCCAAGAATTTGGGGCTTCCCGGGGGTGGGCTGACCCCAGGGGAGAGACAAGCAGTCACTGGAACCCAAATGCCCTGGAGGGGCCCAACGGCAGCTCATGACAAATTCCCCCTAATTGTGACGCGGGGGCGCTGTGACAATGAGGGCAATTGTCACCTAGCAACACTTGGCTCCAAGGCCTTCAGGAGAGAGGTGCTGGCTGCTGCTCAGACTGCCACTTGGCTCTTGAGGAGACACCGTGCAGTGAGGAGCAGAAAGCACCTGGAGGGAATGAACCAGCGTGGCACAGCTGCTCGGCGGAGGGTGGAGGAGGTCTGGAGCCAGATGGAGGCCAGGAGTGCTCCCATCCTGCATAGAGGACGCCTCATGTTTCCAACACTCATGCACCTCTCGGATGATGGTGAGGCCATGGAGAGGTGTGTGATGAGTGCTACTGCAGGACAGGCTCACCCTCTTGTGGCAGCGTTCATCCTGGGGAGGGGGAAGGTGTATCCCAGGACACTGGCACCGGCCACCTTTGTGCCTTGGGCTGACAGACAGCATGAACTCCCTTTCTCTTGCTTTCCAGACACTGTGAGAATTTGGGATGGGGTATCCCGCTACATCCGCCGACAGATTGCGCTGAACAAGGTGGGTTTTGCCATAGCCTCATCTCCTCCTACCCTGCTTATCCCAGGAGTGCTCAACTCGCAAAACACCTCCTAAAGCAGAAGAAACATCCCGTGGGGTACTACTGCTTTGACACTCGGGACAAAACAAAGAGCCCAGCTGCAGCAGAAGGAACTTATCCATGCTGCCGGCAGCTTGCTCATTGCCCACGACCAGTGTGGGCAGCCCAGCATCCAGCCTGAGCCATTTCTCCAGGCTTCCCCTACTTGCTGGAAAGCCCTTGAGGGGTCCTCCCCAGCTGAGGGTGTTGCTCTGCTCTTATTATGGCATCTCTTCTTGAGAGAGAAAACTGGAGGGAGGTGAAAAAGGCCCAGAGGATGAGGCCATCTCCAAAGCTCTCCACACTGCTACCATCCAACCCCTTCCCTATAAGCTGGGCTGCAACAGCCCATCACTTGCTTGCAGAAGCTATGTGACATCTCAGAAAGATTGAACCCCGTTCTGCCTTTGGTCTCTTTTCAGGGTGTCACAATACCTGGGCTGGGCACCTTCTGCCTTATTCCATACACTTTGCCCATGAGGAGCTCTCAGCTCCTGAACTTGCAGAGGCCCATCTTCCAGCTGTCGGAGAACTTTGCATGGGTTCACGGGCTCCAGTATGAGGGAGAAATTTTTCCAGGTAAGAAGGCAGATGAATACGATGGATTTCTCTTACAGGGCATTTGGAGCACATGCTGAACTGCTGCTGCCAGGGGACTGAGAGGAGCCTAGAGCTCCGTCAGAAGGTCCTTACAGCAGCCTGAGCTCCTCACAGGCAAAGACAGGCCCCCACCTTCCACTGTCTGCCAAGAAGCAGCTCCTGAAAAGGTCCCTCTCGGCACTGTTTGCTTGCCGCACTGGCTGTTGCTTCTGCTCGCGGCAGCAGGGAGGATGTGCTGAGGCCCCAGCAATGCACCATGGGTGTGAGGCATCAGGCCCTTGGAGCCTGTTTTCAGAGACTGTCTTCTTTGCAGTGTCGATCCTCTTCGCTCTAATAGTCAGGGATCAATATTCTGGGGGACAGGACTCAGTCCCCCAAAACTGTGCCATGTAGGGACAACTTCCCCAGGAAAGTAAATCGCTGGGTGTGGTGGGAAGGCAGAAGATTCCTCATGGGGGCAACCCAGGCTTGGTGTTATTAAGAAATCCTTGCTGTGTCCTGGGAACTTCAGCCCAGAGAACGCTTTGAGTGGAGAGCAGGAAGGGGCTACACAGTCCTCATTTTTGAGCTGTACCAGAGGAATCTGCAAGACAGCTCTCTAGCTGATTTTTGTCTGTTGGCTCAGCAGCTTGCCCAAACTTGAAGTCCTCCACATCAGATCTAACTAAATTTGCTCCCCATTTGTTTTTCCCCATGTGCTTCTATGATTGTTC